AAAAAAAAAAAAAAAAGAAATGTCTAGCTTTCCCTGTTGAAAAGACCTTAAGGGGTTATTGATTCAGGTCTTGGATTCCCTCAGCCATCTTGAGAAAGTCAACAATGTCTCAAATTTGCTCAGGTTAATAATTTTAAAACATGAATAAGAAACTATTCCAGGTATCTCAGTAAAAAGCTCACAAATCAGTTAGGTAGTCAAGATGTTTGATGTCAACAAAAGCTATCACGTAACATAAAGTAAGACACAGCAAGGTCAATGAATGAGGCCTGTCAATCTGGAGAATGGGTACTTTCTAGAACCTTCAATGGCCCTTCCTCTTAGGCAGCAGCTTATGTGCAAATCAGGCACCAAGAATAACAACTAGGGTGCAAAGGGCCTTGGTTTCCCTTTTGCAAAATGGTATACTCTCAGAAGTCATTAAGTCATTCAACACACTTTTATTGTCTGAGCCATTGTGGTCAATTGTTACAGGAGCCATGGGAAATCGCGTCAGGCAGATATTCGTGGGCACAAAACTCACTGAGACAAAATCTTACCCTGGAGGGAATTCCATCCAATGGGGGAGAGGCTTATATAAAGAGAAATGTCAATCACGTAGGGAGACGGTGCTTTCTGACAGTGTCAATGTTCAGATTGAGCACACAATGCTCTGAGCATCTTCAACACACACCAGATTTCATGTCTTGGCCATATCTGTTATATATTTTTTTCTAATACACACTGATATAAATGTAGAACCATTAAAATGCAAATGATTGTCTGTGTAGAACCCCAAACCAACGTGCAAACCTGAGAGACTAGTGTACCAATTTGGGGAACCATCTAATAGGACAGAAAATAGTTTGGGCTCATTCCCTGGGTCTCTTCTTCATCTGTTAATGGAGCAGATAATACCCGGTTTCCTATAGCTACTATAACAATTGACCACAATGTCTGGCTCAGACAATAAAAGTTTGTTGAATGACTTAACGACCTCTGAGAGTGTATCATTTTGCAAAGGGGAAAGGGTGTAAACCCCTGAAATGATAACAGGCATTCCGTATGTGTCGGAAATATTGGAGTCTTGTTTGTTTGTTGTGTTTTGTCATTTCCTATAAAAAAAAAGTGGTGGCCAGACATGATGGCTCGCACCTGTAATCCCAGCACTTTGGGAAGCTGAGGGAGGAGAATTGCTTGAGCCCAGGAGTTCGAGACCAGCCTGGGCAACATAGCAAGACCCCATCTCTACAAATAATAGGAAAATTAGCCGTGCATGGTGGCACACACCTGTAGTCCCAGCTGCTTGAGAGACTGAGGCAGGAGGATCCCTTGAGCCCAGGAGTTCGAGGCTACAGTGAGCTATGATCATGCCACTGCACTCCAGCCTGGGTGACAGAGTGACCCTGTAGATAAAACAAGAAAGAAAAAAATAAAAATAAGATTAATCAAAAAATAAAATGGCCAGGCTACCATTTCAAAAACCAGTGAGAACTATGAGATTCCAAAACTACCACCTGCCCCACGACCACCCAAAACAACAGCTTTGCCTTCCCTCCTGGCCACGGGGTCCCCCTTCCCGGAACTCTGGGTAGAGTGATGTCATAGATAGGATTACATCACTACAGCCAAGGAACTGGGAATCTCAGAGGCAGGGAGGAGGGGGAAGGATGTTTCTCCACCACCCCAACCCCCCATGTCTGTCGTGAAGTCAATTGAAATAGTGCTGCCCAAGGATGTGGTCTACCTGGCTGGCTCCAGCATAAAAGGGCAGGTGATTCTAACCCTGAACAGCACCCTGGTGGACCCCATAGTGAAAGTGGAGCTCGTGGGAAGGGGTTACGTCGAGTGGAACGAAGAGATCGGGGCATCCCGTGATTACAGCAGAGACGTGATTTGCAACAACAAGGCAGACTACGTGCACAAGACAAAGACATTCCCAGTGCAGGGTAAGGACAAGGTCGGCAGACAGCCCTAAGCCATAACAGGGGCCAGAAAGTAAACACATCCAATAGTCAATCAACAAACCGCCAGGGATGTCAGAAATAGACAGAGGCCTGGTTCCTTCCTAGGAGAGAAGCCATGTAGAATGATGACCATCAGATGCACGTAACACGAAAATAACAAGACACAGGGAGTTGAGCAGACCCCAGATATTCAAAATGAAGGTTCAAAGTGCTCTCCTTGGAAAATGCTATGCTTAATCCAAAAATGCCTTTAGGGTGAGCATAAGAAATCTTTTCTTGTTATTTTGCAGATATTAATAAATCTCGGCCCGGCACGGTGGCTCACGCCTGTAATCCTAGCACTCTGGGAGGCCGAGGCAGCGGATTGTTTGAGCTCAGGAGTTC